ACACCATTGGAGTTGTGGTCTGGGCATAAGCCTAGTTTAAGGCATCTCAGGATTTGAGGTAGTCCAGCACATGTGCTGAGAACCGATACTGATAAGTTGGAACAGAGATCAGAAGTAATGCTGTTTGTGGGATATCCTAAGAAAACGAAAGGTGGTCTATTTTATAGTCCCGAGGACCAGAAAGTAATCGTTAGAACAAATGCTAGGTTCTTGGAAGAAGACTATGTCTTAGATCATAAGCCCAGTAGTAGACATGTTCTTGAGGAATTAAAGGGAGTGAGTACTTTAATACCGAGTGCGCTAGATGTTACACCACAAAGTACTGCAACACGTATCGCTGACGATGCACCTGAGCAGGTAGTACCTCGTCGTAGTGGGAGGGTTGTCTGGCAACCCGAACGGTTCATGGGTCTGGGAGAGTCTTCTGAGGCCGTCTGGGACGTTTTTGAATCCGACCCATGGACATACATGAGGCACTCCAAGATCGGGACGCAGAGTCTTGGCAAAAGGCGATGAAATATGAAATAGAGTCAATGGACACTAATCAGGTCTGGGATCTTGTATCGCCACCCAGTGGCATTCGCGCCATTGGATGCAAGTGGATCTATAAGAGAAAGAGAGGAGAAGATGGGAAGGTTGAGACCTTCAAAGCTAGGCTTGTTGCGAAAGGGTACACTCAGAAAGAAGGGATCGATTATGAGGAAACCTTTTCGCCGGTAGCCATGCTCAAATCCATCAGGATTCTCTTGGCTGTGGCCGCTCATATGGATTATGAGATTTGGCAAATGGATGTTAAGACCGCTTTCCTTAACGGGAATTTGGACGAGGACATCTATATGCAGCAACCAGAAGGATTCATTGCAAAGGGCCAAGAGCATCTGGTCTGCAAGCTCAAGAGGTCCATTTATGCGCTAAAACAGGCTTCGAGGTCTTGTAACATCCGTTTTGACGAGGTTGTCCAATCGTATGGATTTACCCAATGTCCGGATGAGCACTGTGTGTACAAGAAAAGTGATAGAAACGTGGTGGTGTTTCTAGTACTGTACGTGGATGATATTCTTCTCATTGTAAATAGTGTGAAGATGTTGTCAGACGTAAAGGTATGGTTATCCAAGCAGTTTGATATGAAGGATTTGGGAGAAGTAGGACATGTTCTCGGAATCAAGGTCATTCGCGACCGAGAGAAGAGAAAGTTGTGCCCATCCCAATCCACATACATAGACACTATCCTAAAGCGTTTCAACATGCAGGATTCCAAGAAAGGGGATTTACCCTTTCGGCACGGAATACCTCTATCTAAGAGGATGTCCCCGAAGATGCCTCAAGAGATAGAGGACATGAAGGCAGTTCATTATATATCGGCAGTAGGAAGCCTCATGTATGCTATGTTGTGCACGCGACCTGATATTTGTTATGCCGTGGGCATGGTAGCAATATATCAGAGTAATCCAGGACCGAAACATTGGTCTGCGGTAAAGCATATACTCAAGTACCTACGTAGGACTAAGGAGTACATGTTGATTTACCAGGCAGATGAGTTGCTTCCGTTGGGTTATACCGATTCTAACTTCCAGGTAGACCGGGACGAAAGCAAGTCAACCTCAAGGTTTGTGTTTACTTTAGGAGGAGGAGCCATAGTATGGAGGAGTGTCAAGCAGAAATGCGTGGCGGACTCAACCATGGAGGCTGAGTATGTAGCAGCCTCAGAGGCAGCGAAAGAAGCTGTCTGGCTCAGGAATTTTCTCCTCGACCTTGACGTGGTATCGAGTTTGCCCGCTGCAATCACAGTGTTCTGTGATAACAGCGGAGCAGTAGCAAATTCGAAGGAACCACAGACTCATAAAGCGAGTAAACACATAGGCGCAAGTACCACCTGATACGAGAAATCGTTAGACGAGGAGAAGTCGTTGTTGCCA